GCGTGAGAGAGAGAGAGTGTGTGCGTGAGAGAGAGAGTGTGTGTGTGCGCGTGTGAGAGGGTGAGTGTGTGCGAGAGAGAGAGTGTGAGTGTGTGCGAGAGAGTGTGAGTGTGTGTGAGTGCGAGAGAGTGTGCGAGAGTGAGTGAGAGAGTGAGTGTGCGAGAGAGCGTGCGAGAGTGAGTGTGTGTGAGAGAGCGTGCGAGAGTGAGTGTGAGAGAGCGTGCGAGAGTGAGTGTGAGAGAGCGTGCGAGAGTGAGCGTGAGAGAGCGTGCGAGAGTGAGTGTGAGAGAGCGTGCGAGAGTGAGTGTGAGAGAGCGTGCGAGAGTGAGTGTGAGAGAGCGTGCGAGAGTGAGTGTGAGAGAGCGTGCGAGAGTGAGTGTGAGAGAGCGTGCGAGAGTGAGTGTGAGAGAGCGTGCGAGAGTGAGTGTGAGAGAGCGTGCGAGAGTGAGTGTGAGAGAGCGTGCGAGAGTGAGTGTGAGAGAGCGTGCGAGAGTGAGTGTGAGAGAGCGTGCGAGAGTGAGTGTGAGAGAGCGTGCGAGAGTGAGTGTGAGAGAGCGTGCGAGAGTGAGTGTGAGAGAGCGTGCGAGAGTGAGTGTGAGAGAGCGTGCGAGAGTGAGTGTGAGAGAGCGTGCGAGAGTGAGTGTGAGAGAGCGTGCGAGAGTGAGTGTGAGAGAGCGTGCGAGAGTGAGTGTGAGAGAGCGTGCGAGAGTGAGTGTGAGAGAGCGTGCGAGAGTGAGTGTGAGAGAGCGTGCGAGAGTGAGTGTGAGAGAGCGTGCGAGAGTGAGTGTGAGAGCGTGCGAGTGTGAGCGAGAGAGAGCGTGCGAGTGTGAGCGAGAGAGAGCGTGCGAGTGTGAGCGAGAGAGAGCGTGCGAGTGTGAGCGAGAGAGAGCGTGCGAGAGTGAGAGAGAGAGAGCGTGCGAGTGTGAGAGAGAGAGCGTGCGTGTGAGAGAGAGAGAGAGCGTGCGTGTGTGAGAGAGAGAGCGTGCGTGTGTGAGAGAGAGAGCGTGCGTGTGTGAGAGAGAGAGCGTGCGTGTGTGAGAGAGAGAGCGTG